AACAAGTGTCTCGTTATACTCCCCTCGGACTTGAGTGGAGAACTCCCATTGCCTCTTTTTAATATTTTCAAGCACATGAGGGTAGTGTTCTTTTAAACCGTTCAGGCCTAGCTTCTTCTCTTCAATCATTTGTCTCTTTTCTAAGCCATCTTTGTACAGGTTCCAAGAACCAGGAACCCCAAACCGGAGATCTTCACCACTTTTCCGATGTGTTTCAGCATGGAGATGATGGCATAAGATCAGTCTGTGGCTCCTCCTCTTCAGACTGGGACGAGTGCTCAGATGTTCTTCTGGTTGTTTCAGGCCTTGGGCGTTTGGATTATTGTGCTTGTTGGCTCAGGGAAGCAACCCATTTGTTTCCTCGAGTGGGAGGAGATCGCAATTCTAGAGACTTCTATGGTGCCATTCCCGTCAATGAATCAATGGGTGAGTAGTTGATATAGCATGGGAAACATATTGAGAGAGTATAAAGGAAACAAGAAGCATTTGTGATGAGTTATGTGATCTCATAACAACTGCGCGAACTGTAAACCCATCGCACAATAACACCACTCATAAGCTAAAGCAAGAATGCGATCGCAAAAGGGGGCGCAAAACAACTTATGCAACCACAGATTGCTCACGTTTTGCTCACCAGATGTGGCAAGTTATCTTCCTCAGTCTGCGGCACTTTCGCGGTCTGCGAAATAATTCTGCGATCGTGAACCCAACCGTAGAAGTTCTTCTTAAAAAGCTACCTAGGGTACCAAAATGCGACGACTCTGTGGACCGCAAACCAGTTATGCGGACCGCAAAGTTCATCGTCCTTAGTCAAAAGGTCGACCCACTCAACTTACAGAGCTTCTAACACCCAAATTCAGACATTGCACACCTATGACATAGAAAAATTTCCCAACCCATGTTCTTTACTCCTATTATGTGGATTAAATCTTTAGAACCCAGTTTACCCCCAGCATCAATTTTCCCCCAAACAATGATTTTCGAATCAATTATGCACACATTGATACCCACAGCAAGGGATTGAGAAGAAGGGGGAAAGGAGATGCAAACACATGATCTTCTTCAACGTGATTAAGCAAGTGAGGGAGGAAATTTACATACCAGATATCTGATCAGTTGAAGCACTAGTCCTTAGATACGAACCGGGTGAGCTCTTTTTTTTATTTTTTATTTTGTGTTGTTAACTCGATGTTTTTGGTCTTTTTCTTGTTCTTCTTTTTTTTTCTTTGTTTTTGATCTCTTTTGTGTTGTGCGGTGCTTGTGTGTGTGAGAGTGAGGGTGTGCGACTGAAATGCGGAGGGGGTTAGGGTTTAATACCTGGGAGTTCTACGGTGGAAAAGTAGATCGCATAGCACATTATGCGGTCGCATATGTGTTATGAGATGAGTTAGTAACTGCTTGGCTAAATCCACTTCGTGATGCATTCTGCTGTCGCATAATCGTTATGCGGGCCGCAGAAATAGAAATCTCACCGCATTTTTGAGAGCCAAAATTGAATTTTCTTCTGAATGTGTCTGCGACCACTATGCGGTCCGCAAAGCCATTATGCGACCGCATAGTTGCCGCAGACCACAGGTCCTGCTTTCCTTCATTCTTCTCAATCCTTGCACCTTACTTTCATTGTATTTTGGGCTACCTGCATTTTAACACACACGTCAAACTGCTCAACACTAACAACTAAACCTACAGAAATTAAAATCTAACAAAATAATGTTACCACACATGGGTTGCCTCCCAATAAGCGCTTAATTTAATGTCGAGGCACGATGATGTTGACCCCATTTGGGCTAATCAGTGGTGGGGGCTGGTGTAGAACTATCCTTGAGTGCGAATTGTTCTACCAAGTGCCTTTCTCCTGTGGTTCCGAAGTAATGCTTTACCCGTTGGCCATTTACTTTGAAAGTTCGAGTCCCGTCCTCTGACTCCAATTCAATAGTGCCATAGGGGGAAGCATTCACAACTTTGAATGGACCAGGCCATTTGGATTTGTGTTTGCCCAGAAATAACTTGAGTCTTGAGTTGAAGAGTAAGACTAAGTCACCGGATTTGAATTCCCGCTTCAAAATCTTCTTGTCATGAACAAACTTCATTCTTTCCTAATACATGGTTGCTCTCTCATAGGCATAAATACGGAATTCTTCCATCTTGTTGAGTTGTGTCATTCTTAGGTTAGCAGATTCGGCCCAGGCAAGATTCAACTTTTTCAATGCCCACATGGATTTGTGTTCAAGCTCCACTGGCAAGTGACACGCCTTACCAAAAACCAACCGCTGTATGGTGAGGTTCCAATGGGAGTCTTAAATGCTGTGCAATATGCCCGCAATGCATCATCTAGCTTCCTTGACCAGTCAGTCCTATTTGCATTAATAGATTTTGCTAGGATGTTTTTGATCTCCATGTAGGAAACTTCAACCTGACCACTCGACTGAGGATGATAAGGGGTGGCCACCTTGTGCTTGACTCCATACTTTTCGAGCAGCCCGGTGAAGGTTTTGTTACAAAAGTGAGAACCACCACCACTAAGGATGGCCCTGGGGGTGCCAAACCGCGTAAATATGTTCTTCTTCAAGAAAGCGGTCACACTCTTTGCCTCATTGTTGGACAAGGAGATTGCCTCGACCCATTTGGAGACATAGTCCACTGCCACCAAGATATATGTCATGCCATAAGAGCTCACGAAGGGACCTATGAAGTCTATTCCCCGCACATCAAAGATCTCGACCTCCATCACAAAGTTCATAGGCATCTCATGTATTCTAGAAATTGACCCTTGTCTTTGGCATTGATCACATGCCTTGACCATTTGATTTGCATCTTGGTAGATCGATGGCCAATAGTAGCCACATTCAAACACTTTTGTAGCGGTACGGTTTCCACCATGATGCCCCCAACTGGATAGTCATGATATGCTTTGAGAATTTGCATTACCTCATCTTCCGAAACACAACGCCGGATGATGTTTTTGGCACAAGTACGGAATAGAAAGGATTCCTCCCAATAGTATTACCTACACTCGCACAAGAACTTTTTCTTTTGATAAGCTTCCAATCCGTCGGTAATAAGGTCACTAACCAAGAAGTGAGCGATGTCGGCATACCAAGGGGCGAAGATGCTAGACAATGCCAAAATGTGCTCATCTGGAAAGGCATCATTAATTTCAAGATCTTCTTTTGGTCTCCCTACCTCTTCAAGCCTAGATAGGTGATCCGCAACTTGATTCTCTGTCCCTTTCCGATCCTTAACTTCAAAGTCAAACTCTTGTAAAAAAAGGACCCACCTAATCAATCTTGGTTTAGCATCCTTCTTCGCCATAAGATAGCGGAGAGCTGCATGATCGGTGTAAACTATCACTTTGGACCCCAACAAATAGGCCCGGAATTTTTCAAAGGCATATACAATGGCAAGCAGTTCTTGCTCAGTCACAGTGTAATTCATTTGTGCGCCATTGAGTGTGTTGCTTGCATAGTAGATAGGATGAAGGACCTTGTTATGCCGTTGACCAAGTACCGCCCCAATAGCTACACCACTGGTGCCACACATGAGTTCAAATGGAAGGGACCAATCAGGTGTGACAATAATAGGTGCTGTGGTGAGCCTTGCTTTCAATTCCTCAAAAGCTTTGAGACACTTCTCATAAAATTTAAACTTTGCATCTTTTTCAAGGAGATTGCCTATAAAAACGCCTATAAAAACACGCATGCCCCAAGAAGCTCCGAACACCTTTTACCGAAGTGGGAGGAGGAAGCTTGGAAATGATTTCGATATTTGCCCGATCAACCTCTATGCCTTGCTTATAAATTTTGTGGCCCAGAACAATGCCCTCGTCCACCATGAAGTGGCATTTTTCCCAATTTAGCACAAGGTTGGTTTCCTCAGATCTTTTGAGCACTTGTCTAAGATTGTCGAGGCAATGCTCAAATGAGTCACCAACTACAGAGAAGTCATCCATAAACACCTCTAAGAAATCCTCCACCATGTTCGAGAAGATTGACATCATGTACCGTTGAAAGGTGGCCGGGGCATTGCATAGCCCAAATAGCATACGGTTAATGGCAAAGGTTCCATACGGGTATGTGAATGTTGTCTTTTCTTGATCTTCAAATGCAATGTAATTTGGTTATAGCCAGAATAACCATCCAAGAAGCAATAGAATGACCTTCCCGCTATCCGATCAAGCATTTGATCAATAAAAGGCATAGGGAAATGGTCCTTGCAAGTAGCACTGTTGAGCTTCCGGTAGTCCATGCAAACTCTCCACACGGTCACCGTCCTTGTTGGGATGAGCTCATTTTTGTAATTTTGAATCACGGTTATGCCTCATTTCTTTGGCACACATTGCACTGGACTCACCCAAGGGCTATCGGCAATGGGGTAGATTACCCCGGCATCTAACCATTTTATGATTTCTTTCTTCACCTCCTCTTGTATGGAAGGGTTCAACCTTCTTTGATGCTCCACGCTAGGTTTGCTCTCTTGATCCAATTATATCTTGTGCTCACAAATTCCTGTAGGAATCCCTCGGATGTCCGCTATTGTCCACCCATTGGCTTGTCTTTGCTCCCTAAGGGAATTCAACAAGTGTTCAACCCGCACATCATTCAACAATGAAGAAACGATTATAGGTAGAGTTTCATTAGAGCCAAGAAATTTATACCTTAAGTGTGGTGAAAGTGGCTTGAGCTCAAGTTATGGCGGCTCGATAATTGAAGGCTTAGCGGGAGGAGTGACTATATTCTCTAGACAAGAGAAAGTTTCTTTGGTGCATAAGTGTATGACCCAAGCCTTTCTAATGCATTTATCGATTCCATGTATCCTTCCATGTCTTCACCATCGAAATTTACCAAAATAGCCGCCAATGCCTCACCCAGGCATTCTTCTTCCATCTTCACCCCGACTGCATCCTCTACCTTATCAACAATATCAATGATTGAGATAATTTCGTATGCATGTGGCAATTTCATACTCTTACTCGCTTGAAAGGTAACCTCTTCGTCATTAACTCAGAGCTTGATCTCATTTTGTTCCGAATCCATGAGTGATCTTCCGGTAGCAAGGAATGGTCTCCCAAAGATGATAGGGATTTCTTTATCAACAGCACAATCAAGAATAGCAAAGTCGACAGGGAGGAGGAACTTCCCCACTTTCACAAGAACATCATCAACAATTCCCACCGGTCTTTTTATTGAACGGTCGGCCATTTGCAACCTCATGCTTGTAGTCCTAGGCATACCTAACCCCGATTGCTTGTAAATAGCAATAGGAATTAAGTTGATGCTAGCCCAATTATCAAAAAGAGCTCATGCAAAATTGCGCAACACGATAGTGCATAGAATGGTGAAGGCTCCCGGGTCCTCATTCTTTTGGACGGTAGTTGTTGCAATGATAGAACTAACCCGATGAGTCACATTCACCACTTCATTCTAGGTGGTTTTATTTTTAGTGATCAAGTCTTTCAAGTACTTAGCAAAACCCGGCATCTCTTGAAATACTTCCACAAATGGAATGTTCACCGATAGTTGCTTGAGAATGTCATAGAACTTATCGAGTTTGCTATCATCAACCCTCCTAGCAAGTATTTGAGGGAAAGGAGGAGGAGGGCTAGGAATTTGTGCTAGAGCTTTTGGTGTCTCTTTTATCTTTTCCTTAACCTCTTCACGGTTCACTTCTTGATTTATCACTTCCTTTGGGAGTCTTTCAGCTTCAATAGCAATTGGCACCTCAACTTGTGCCTCAACTTCTTGTTCTGGATCTTCCACTTCGACTACTTGTTCATTTTCTCCTTGAAGTAGTTTCCCACTTCGAGTTGTGATTTCCATACAATGAGAAGTCGAACCATTCCCACTACCTTTTGGGTTTGCTATTGTGTCACTTGGGAGCGTACCCTTCTACCTTAGATTTTGCTCTCTTGATAGATCTCTCATTTGCATTTCTAACTTTTGAATGGATGCGATGTGAGAACCCACAAGCTCGGTCATGTTCTTCATTAAAGTGTCGGAATTTTCTTGATTTTGCAATACTCGTTCAAGCGTGTTTTCCAATGACTCACTTGAAGAACTTTCCTTCCAATGCGGAGAGTTAGAATATTGCCCCTTTGGTGGAACATAGGGGTTTGAACTCCGATTTGAAAAGTTTTTGTTGTTACTCCAATTACCTTGATTTGAACTACCTTGATCATTTCGCCACTAATGATGGCCTTGACTTTGCGGGTTAGACCTCCATTGGTTTTGTTGTCCTGAACCTTGGTAGGGTTGTCTTTGATAACCACCTTGAGAGTTGTTGACATAATTTGCTTCTTTGTAATCCTTATTTGACAAGGGTTGCACATCTTCCACAACATTTACCTTTTTTGTTTGGATTTCAGTGAACATCTTCGTCAACACATTGATGTTGGTTGCAAGTCCGACAATTACTTGATCTCTTTTTTGGTTCTCCTTAATCATGTTGGTCAAGGAAGGAGTACCATATGCAATTCCACTCGTGGTGTCTTCCGAGTGCCAAGCTTGTTTATGTTCTACCATCTTGTCAAGGATTTATGTGACCCTTCCAAATGTTTTATCCATAAATGATCCATCAGCTGCATTTTTGGCTATGGATTGATTCAAAGGATCCAAGCCCATGTAAAACTTCTCCAACAAGATGTTGTCTGGAAAATCATGATTCAGCGACCTCACTAAATATAACTTGAATCGATCCCATGCCTCATGTAGATGCTCTCCCAGTAGTTGCTTGAAGAAGAAAATTGTATCCCGGAGCTCTGACCTTTTGCTTTGTGGGAACCATTTAGCTAGGAAAGCTCAAACGAGTTCGGGCCAAGTATGAATGGAATTAGGTGGTAGATTTTGGATCCATTTCCTTGCCTCTCTAGTTAGTGAGTACTTGAATACCCTCAGCCTTAGGGCATCATCTGAAACATGATTCTGCTTGTGCATCGCACACACACCCAAGAAGTATCTGAGATGTTGTGTCGGATCATCATCGGTGGAATTTCTGAAAAATCCCTCTGCTTTGAGCAATAAATTAGACCGTGTTCCACCTTAAAGGTGGAAGCATCAACTATTGGAGGGACAATGGCATTTGTATCCTCAATATACTCATCTATATCCGCAAAAGGGTTCTCTTCTTCTAACTCGGTCATGTTTACCTAGTAACACCAAGCAAGCAACCAAAGTGTGATGGAGTAGAAGAAGACATAAAGTAAAGCACACACTAAATAGTAATTTCAAAACCGCATTCGCCGGCAACGGCACCAAAATTTGATACGCTCAAATTACACCTAAATAAATAGTGTAAGGTGGTTGATGTCAAATATAATAACCCAACTAGGTTGGGGTCGAATCCCACAGGGAATAGGTGAGAAAAGGTTACTTAAATAGTGTGAAACTTGACATAAGTCGTAATCCTACCCCGTTAGCTTAAAAGAGAGTGTTGTAATTATGAGTTATCGAGAAAACCATTTTGTTATGAAAATATAATAAATTTGATTAAGGAAACCAAGGTTGTGTCCCCATCAATGGAATGTAATGCTATCGGTGTTAATATGATATATTCCTAATGGAAGGTCCTTTGATATGCGAATGGCTTCTAAATGACTATCCAATATTTGCCAATAGTTAGGTAGTATTTTCTCTTCATGATTTTCGCAAATATAAAAGAGTTACAATTAAGAACAACCAATTTATGCCAAATAGAACTCACTTATTCCTAAGCGATTCTATTAAACAAGGTTTAAATCCTTGAGTTTTTGCTATTCACTTCTACCAAACCCTAACCCTCTTTTCCAAGTAAAGATAGAATGAAATGGCATTAGTCAATGTTTGCAACCACCAACATTAAATGAAGCATGAGAAATGAATAAATACCAACAAACCATTATATATATATTCAATGGTAAACACCCATTAACATTATACCCATTTAGGGCCCACAACCTAAGTATTTAAAACTAGCTACCCATACTAGAATCCAAGAACAAAGCAATAAATGAAGTCATAAAGCTTATAAAGATACAAGATTCTTTTCTCAAAAGCTTCCAAAACAATGGTGCATTCAATGCTGTAATAGTAGCCTCTTTTTCAGACCAGATATCCCAATAAAACCCTAGTAAATCTGTTTATAATAGGCCAAAAGTCGGGGTCAAATTTAGACAAAAATGCCCATGCAGAACACATTTGCGACCGCAGAATGGGTCACAGATCATGTATGTGGTCTGCAGAAATACAAAGTTGTCGCATAATTACACGACCAGTTGCCTAGTTCTCCATCACAGATCCATTCTGCATCGCAAAAGTGCTCTTGCAGAATCTCCTTTTACACTTATGCGGTCATTATACGGTCCGCAGAAGCGTTATGCGGCCGCATTGTAGAACACATATTTCTCTCTTCAAGAGCTGGACCACCTGCTTCTATCTGCGGTTGGTTTGCGGCTCGCACATCACTTCTGCGGTCGCAGACCTGCCGCATTTCTGCCCTTCTATGGGTTTTTGTCTTCTTTTCCGTGTTCTTGGTTCTTCAAGTCTGGTACACTGCAAAACACCAAAACTTCATAATAAATAACTAAAAATGCTTTAAAACACGAGCTAAAGTCTATGCAATTAGTATCAAAAGTGCCGAAATTCTACAGCACATCAGCCCACTCGCAATATGTCTAGGACCCGAAGACACTGAGTATGATCTGAGGGAAATCCACGAAGGCACCTGCAGAAATCATTCGGGCGCTGAATCATTAGTTCAGAAAATAATCAGAGCTGGCTACTATTGGATCGACATGGAAAAGGACGCGAAGGAGTTCGTATGAAAATGCGACAGATGTCAAAGGCATGCTCTGATGATTCATCAGCCCGGGGAGCTACTACATTCGGTCTTGTCCCCCTGGCCGTTCATGAAATGGGGAATGGACATCGTCGGGCCCCTTCCATGGTCACCCGATAAGGCTCAATTTATATTGTTTATGACTTACTATTTTTCTAAATGGGTGGAAGCCCAGGAGTTTGAGAAATCCAGGGAGAAGGAAGTCATTGATTTCATATGGGACCACATAATATGTCTGTTCGGAATACCGGTTGAGATCATGTGTGACAATGGGAAGCAGTTCGTCGGCAACAAAGTAAGCAAGTTTTTCGAGGATCATAAGATCAAAAGAATCTTGTCGACACCCTATAAACCTAGTGTGAACAGGAAAGCGGTGTCCACGAACAAAACCATACTCCAAAACCTCAGAAAGAGATTGACCGAAGCCAAGGAAAAATAGAAGAAATCATTCTCGAAGTCCTATGGGCATACCGTATAACCTGGAAGTCCAGTACTGGGGCCACCCTGTTCTTATTAGTTTACGGCACAGAAGCTCTAGTACTGATTGAAGTTGGAGAACCGAGTCTCGTGTTTCGATATGCAACCGGAGAATCAAACAACGAGACCATGAATATGAGCCTGGAACTGTTAAATGAAAGGCGTGAAATCGCCCTCGTCCGAATGGCTGCTTAAAACAACGGATCGGGAGGTATTACAATCGAAGATCCAACCTTCGACACTTCAACATCGGGGACTTAGTGTTGAGGAAGGTCACATTAAACACTCGAAACCCAAACTTAGGAAAGTTGGGACCATACTGGAAGGTCCGTATCAAATTATCGAGATCACCGAAAAAGGGTCGTACAAACTTGGAGCTATGTACGGTGAACGACTACCGAACAAATGGAATGTCACTCACTTGAAACGATATTACTGCTAAGCTACGACCCCGTATACTTCTTTTATTTATCTACATTTTGGACTAACACTTGCAGGTAGCCGTCAAAGAACGATACAATTTTATAGGCCTGAAAGCACGCATTGCACTATTTTTCCTTTGAACCGGTTTTGCCCCAAATGGGTTTTCCGACAAGGTTTTTAATGAGGCAACAGTGGATCGTGCTAACTGAGAATCGAAGACCGGTTTTCAACAGTATTCGTGGCTTCTCTATGATCGACCTCGAATATTGGGAGGCATCAACCTTGGAAAATGATTTTTTGCAAGGAAAGAAACTTTGTGCTCGAATAGTCTAGGCTCGCTTGATAGGATTTACTGTAAGGGCCAAACGGTCAGATGAACTGTGCCCATATAGACCACCCGATCCCGGACACAAAGCTTTAACATATGTGTAACTTTGTATATTACGCACAAGTTTTCTACCTTGTGGATAAATATTTCGCCCCTTGAAATTTTTTCTTTCTTACATTTGATCCCCCGAAGGCATCAAACCCAAAGGCCACCTCACTCGGGGACTTCCACCCAAGGCAGGTTTGGATAGCCCGAGATAATCATGTTCGGGGGCATAAAGCTTATTTGACAGTTCCCAAACTTTAAAGGCTACGGACATCCCCATTCGAGAATGGTTATCTCGGTTAAGCCTGGATGATTCGGGGTAACAAGCCCAGTGGGCAACACCCGAACTTTAAAGGCTACGACCGTATTAAAATGGCTTAAAGACGTCCGAGACCCGTAACAAAAAAACAAGGCCTTCAAAATTTCTAAACCGGTTCAAAAGGCTTCCCTCGGCAAATTATAATCTAAATAGTTCTAAGTACTTTGGGGAAAGCTTCCAGTCATACCAAGCCCCCACGAGTTTTAAACAAAATAATATCGAGAGCAAGGCCTGTTCGAACCTCCGAACTAGACCTAGTAATTACGTGCTAAGGCATTCGATATCTTTGCAATCATAAAAAAACGAAAGGAAACGAGCTTAAAACTGTCGAAGGGAAACAAAAGCTCTCTCTATATATATATGAAAATATCTTTACAAAGGCCAAATGGCCTTTACAAAAAAGTACAAAAGTACAA